CATGCAAACATTTTTTAAGAAGTTCACAGTCTGATTGAAATTTAAGATTGAAAAAATGAGAAATTGAGAGAAACCAAAATTGCTTAGTTCATCTCCACCAGTGATCATTTTTCACCCTGAAGGTCAGAAAATACCTTTTGGGCTGCAACCCTGCCTGCACTTTGGCATCTTAAATCTCATTGAAGCCAATGGGATTCAAGAGGCTTAGGATTGCAGCCTTGGTGGTGGTGGTGGGGAATTAATTAGGAAGGAGCATCTTTCTAAAAGCCTATAAATAAATATGTGGTTATGATACTGTTTGACAGAAAGTAAAGTAAAGAAATTAGATAGAAAAGTCTCCGCCAACCTGGTCGCTACGTTAATCAGAAGCTAAACTGAGGTTCATAAATAGCTCGTTGCATAATATGTGGTGAATACATTAAAGTGAAATGACATGCTCTTGTAGCAGCTGAGAGGAGAATGTCTAATGAGTTAAACCTTTAAATTCTCTTGGACTTAGGGAGCATCTGGCTGAATTGTTATTACGGCACTGTGGAACTTCAGCAATTTTAGGTAGGAGACCTTGCAAGTCAGCTAGCGTTCCACAGGGCTGTATTGGATAAAATTGTACAGGATACGAAAAGGTTCAGAATGGACAGAGTTTGGATTGTAAAATTAACAAATCAAACTAACAGCTTCATATTTAATTTAGTATTCTGTTCCACCCCGCAGGGCAGAATCTGACTATAATGCAAAGCACTGGAATCTGCCTAGCATACTCATTCTGTGTGGTCATGCCAAGTGTTTTATTTTAAGGGGGAAAGTTTGTGTGTTGTCCTTGGGATATTTGATTAATAATTTACCATTTGGATGTTATATATATATATATATATTGTACAGACTGGCTGGAGGCCTTGGGGATCACGTGAGAGAGTCCCTTTTTTACTTTTCTTGTAACTACTCAGTTTATAAACACAGGTTATCAAGTGCTAAGAGGTAGCTAGTGTTCTTGGATGTGCAGCCATACAGAAAAGCCTAAAAGTGAAAGCTGAAGGATGGACAATTATTTTACTGTAGTTCCTAAGAAGGAAGATATCTGTTCAAGCACACCATGGAGCTATCTTGACTGCTGTAAGCTATTGATTAACGACTTAGTGGCTGTACTCAGATGTAATGCTAAACCATGATCTGCCATTATGAGAATAAACCTCTATGCGCCTTGGGCTTTCATGCTCCCTGCTCCCTCTGGTGCAGCCACAAGGAGGAGATTGGAAGCTTCCATTTTAGAATAACCGTCATTTAGTGTGCTGTCCAAACCCTAAAGTGTACGCACAGTAACTATTCTTAGTTGTGGTTAGGAGAAACAAGCCAGCTTCACAAAGTTGAGATTAGCCACATTTTAGGGTTAAGATCCCTCTGTTATGAGTTTGTGGGGTGGGGGGAGGCATAGGCCGAAATTCTTCTAACCTCTGGATCCAGAAAGTGTTAAAAAAATAAGCCAGGCTAGCTTCTTGATGAGGTGATCACTTGGGTGATGGGCCATTAAGGGGAACAAAGGAAAGGGGCGCTCTGTGAGACAGTAAATGGGTGGAGTCCCTCCCTCAACTCATGGGTAGTTAAAAAGACTAAGCCAGGGTTGATATCACAGAGTTACAAGTGATGTGAGCTAGAGGCAAAGCAGCAAGTGGGGAGAGAGAGACAGGACAATGTTTGGTTGATGCTTGAATCCAAGGCTGTGGCTTGTTGGGTGATAACGCCGAGGCCTGGTGCTTCCCCCCAACGTCAGCATCGCCCGGGATTCATTCCTCCGGTCTCCCATCATGCTGATGTGGCCCATATCCAGGAACATGAGTACACGACAAGCAGAGTTCAAAACAGAAGCTCAGCCTTGAGGAGTAACATCTAAGCCTAATTTATTGCAAATTAAATCAAGCGTAACAGGACAAAGAAACATGGCTCCTCTCTCTGTCGTTCTTCCTCGGAGAGAGAGCTGCAAAAGCAAAAGCTATACAGAGCGGAAACAGCATATCTCCCTTTCCGCCTACAAGACTCCAATAATCAGTGCTGGAATGTAAACAGACATGTGACATGTAACAATCCCAAACACATCTGCAGCACGGGAGGAATGGAATTCTCAACATGGCTATGGGAGAAGAAGAAGAGGAGGAGGAGGAGGAGGAGGAGGAGGAGGAGTTTGGACTTGATATTCACTCCTCTTAAGGAGTCTCAAAGCAGCTGACAATCTCCTTTCCCTTCCTCCCCCACAACAAACACTCTGTGAGGTGAGAGACTTCAGAGAAGTGTGACTAGCCCAAGGTCACCCAGCAGCTGCATGTGGAGGAGTGGGGAAGCGAACCCTGTTCACCAGATTACGAGTCCACCGCTCTTAACCACTATACCACACTGGCTCAAGAGCAAGGCCCTCTTGGGGTGCTGCGAGCCCCTCCATCGTAGACTCAGGTTGTATATATGTGTCAAGAAACCACATATCATAAAGACAACACAGTCACCTCATTCCAACAGGAAACACGAACCCTGAGTTCGTGAGCCTGGAACCCCTAAAATTGTGTAGTGCTCAGAGATTGAGGTGGCGAGCAACACCACGTTCAACTGTGATTAATCTAAAATGGAAGTTGACACTCCTCCTTTAGGCTACACTATATTGGAGCAGGAAAGGGTAAGGCGTGAGCCAAAGGATCTGTGGTTAGCATTGTGCCCCAAACAGCCCCTGATTTGAGGTCTACTTTTCACCAAGTACAGCAATTTGATCTCATTTTGGACATCTACAAAGCAATGGATCCCTAATACATAATACATTTGTGGGTTGCATCATAGGGCAGTCCTCCCTCACAGCCAGAAGCTCTATGTGGAACATTGGCCAGCATATGATAACCAAGTCTATTAGTATGGCTCTGAATTAGTGATGGCCTTGTTCAGCATAAAGCAAAACAACCACATGCTTGACCCACAAAGGCAAGTAGAGTGTTTTATCCAATGAGATTCTGCTTGCTTCAAACTAATTTCCATCCTCTGAACTGGCTGCCTATTAGAGAAACTGCTCAAAAAGCATTCACAGATTCTGAAGCTGAAACATTTGATTTGGCTGTGTTTTATTCTAGACAGCTATGACAGCATGCATTCAGACACCTCGAAATATCACCAGGGATAGAAAGCCACATCTGCAAAAGTGGTACGCAGCTACGGTTCATTATGAAATGGCACCTTGTATTGATTTCCACAGTCTGACTACAAATTGGGCAAAAAAACAATATTCTTTTATTAATTTCAAGCTCACTACTTTTTTGTTTTAGACCTTCTCTTTTCCTGGCAGTAGGGGACAAGGAGAAAAGTAATTTCTAACCTGCATTCTTTTCTTTTCAAAATTCTTGTCCAGGCACACTACTTAATAACTATGGCAGTGATAACAGAGAAAGAGATGTGCTTGCATTGTAATAACAAGGCTGTAGACATTTCTGAACGCAAAAGCTTCTATCTTGCTTATATTAAATAAAAGAGATTAGGTTTTCCAGAGCAAACTGGCATGTGTTTCTACAAGAAGAATAGTAACAAAAAATAAAAAAGATACCCACACCCTTTGGGTCACTTCCTCTTCAGTCAAGCTATCACCATCCTTTGATGCAAGTATTTCTATAGACATTGATCAAGTAGCTAATAAGATTCCAAGTGAATCTTTTCCATTTAAAAAAAAATGGGTTGTGTACCCAATATACTCCTGCCAACCTAGCAGTTTGAAAGCACGTCAAAAGTGCAAGTAGATAAATAGGTACCACTCCGGCAGGAAGGTAAACGCGTTTCTGTGCGCTCCTCTGGTTCGCCAGAAGCGGCTTAGTCATGCTGGCCACATGACCCGGAAGCTGTACGCCGGCTCCCTCGGCCAATAAAGCGAGATGAGCGCCGCAGTCCCAGAGTCAGTCACGACTGGACCTAAAGGTCAGGGGTCCCTTTACCTTTACCTTTACCTTTACCCAATACTATTTACTCTGGCTCCAGTGCTCTCTCACTGATGTTTGAAGCCAAGTACACACAACTTTAGCTACAATCCATATATATCCTACAGTTTATTGAGAAATCATTTTGAAGGCCAAACCTGTAGTTAAGCTGAGGTGTGTATGTTTGAGACAGCCAATGAGCATGTGCAGATGACAGCTTCATTGAACAGGAGCTTGGCACAGGAAAACAAATCAGGTAATGTGCATCCCTGATACCTCTGTGAGATATAAAGCAATGCACAATAGTCATTTGGAACTCAAGGAGTGTGTGTGTGTGTGTGTGTGTGTGTGTGACCTTATAGTGTTTTAAGCTGCTCATGTGTAAATAGCATTATTTGTGTATAGATCATTGAAACAAAAGGTTTCCAAGCAGTGTGTACAGCACATAAAAAACTCAACTTAAGAACGAAATAGGAAGCTCACAGGGTGGTCTAAGGCCAGTCACTGCCTCTCAACCTAACCTACCTCACAGGGTTGTTGTGAGGATGAAATGGGGGAGGGGAGAACCATGTACACCATCTCAAGTTCCTTGGAGGAAAAGGTACAGTAGTATATAAATGTATTAAATAAAATAAAATGCTTTCTGTGGACATCTACACATATGATCCTTTGGACTGCCTCAGATAATCAAGATGTGTTCAGTACTGTGAGGTTACCACAATTTCTATGGCCATCAACCAGGTGTATGGCTGAATTACTGTTTGATGGGGAGACCAAGGACTTTGACCATAAAGTAGGGTTACCAGATGTGTCTGTTTCCTGGGGACAGTCCCCGGATTTGCAAATAAGTCCCCAGACAAATTCCATCCCCGGAATGTCCCTGGATTTCATCTAATATCCCCAGGAAACGCAGCAGCAGTCTCAGCAGCCCAGAGCAGTTGGCTCTGGCTGGCTTCAGGAGCTGCTCAGAAGTCCCCATGTGATGGTGGTGCAGGGGCTCTAAGATGCAGCTTCTGGGCTGCCTCCACCTTCTCTGACCCCAGCAACTAAGCTGTGAAGGGAGGCTTCATGCTGCCTATCGGAGCAGCCTCCCAACTCCTACTTGCGTGCAAGCAGGAGTGGGGCGGGGATCTCTCAGGCAATGGAAACCTCCCTTCCCAGCTGAGGGTTCCCCGCCCCCTCCTGCTTGCACGCAAGTAGGAATGGGATTGGGGCTGCTCTGATAGGAAGGGTGGCACCGCGCTGCCCGAGCCTCACTGCTGCCGCTTTCGGCCCTCCTCCTCCTTCCATGCCTGACCCACCACCCACCGCTTCCCCACCACTACCACCAGCGAAGAACCAACAACTCAGGGGCTGCCCAGGCTCATGGAGAAAGGAGATAGAAGCTTCAGAGGAAGGGGAAACGTGGCGGTTGTGGTCAAGGTGGCGGCCGCCCCTCTGCCACCGCCATCGCTGCAGCATCAATGTCCCAAACGTGTAGTATTTAATTAATTAAGTAAGTAAAGTGTCCCCAGATTCATTGAAAAAAATCTGGTAACCTTACCATAAAGCTGTAGATCAAAAGCAGAGAACAATTTTTCTGTCCGAGGTCTGCCATGATACTACTTTTAATGGCCATGGCTTCTCTCCAGGAATTATGGGAGCTGTGGTTTGTTAAGGATGCTGAGAGTTGTTAGGAGATCCCTCACAAAGCTATGGTTGGTTCCCAGAGCAGTTGAACAGCCAAACCCTCTTCCCAGGGAACTCTGGGAATTGCAGTTTTGTGTGCAAAGGGGGCTGTGCAATAGGAGAGAGAAGATTAGGCATGGAAATGGGGGGGGGTGATCTGTGTGCAAGGAAGAGTTGAGTAAAGTAAGGGAGGAGGGAATGAAGGTGAACACAGGGTGCAAAAGGGGTTGCAAGAAAGGAGGGAATAGGGGGTATGAAAATGGGCGTGAATATGAAAATGAGGTTATGAATAATAGGAGGGGATGGTGACTTCATAATTGGGCAGTCAGTGTAGTAATTGTAATGTGTGTGGGGAGGACAATACAGGAGGTTACTATGGGTACGGTTTGTGTGCAAGGGTGATGCACAGAAGGAAGAAGAGGAAGTATGGACCTGGGGTTGAAGGTCAAACAGGTACGAAGTGGGGCTGCAGGACTGAAGAGAGAAATGGGGTTGGGAAGATGAAAAGCAAGCTTAGTTGTTCTATGGGGTTGATGTGGGGGGTTGGCAGGGTGGTTGATAAGTGGAGCAAGCAATGACACAACCCTGGTACAAATATATATAGAGAGAGGAAAACAGGAACTAGGGAAAATGTAATGTTAGTTCATATATGTAGAACTTCTGTGTTTATCTAAAATAAAAATATTTGTTCAAAGGATCTGTATCTCAGTCAGGATAGCCAGCCATGAATCTGTTTACATGCAATTTACCAGCAGTTGTCGAGAAAAAGCTCCATGGCAACACCAGCGTTATAGGGCCTCGTATCCTTGTGTCCACTTTCAAGAAGAGGAGCAAACATGAAACATTTGGTACATTTAGTTTTTCAGCAGGGGCTAGGCACAAGGTTGGTCATTTTGGGGAGCAATAACAAATCTCAACCATCACTTTTTGCAGCAGGCGGGAATAAATGCCACATCCCTTACAAAGTGTAACTTAATTTGCCAGCAGTCAACGAACTATTTCCTTTTTTTCCCCTCGGGGTGGGGAATGATTGTAATAATGCTCCCCCCTTCTTTCATTCTAATATAATAGGTCAAATTTAGCATAAGTATTGTTATCAGTTTGTGGGGGAACAAAGGTAAAGGGACCCCTGACCATTAGGTCCAGTGGTGACTGACTCTGTGGCTGCAGCACTCATCTCTCTTTATTGGCCAAGGGAGCTTGTGTACTGGTCATGTGGCCAGTAGGACTAAGCCGCTTACCACGGAAACGCCGTTTACCTTTCCGCCAGAGTGGTACCTATTTATCTACTTGCACTTTGACATGCTTTCGAACTGCTAGGTGGGCAGGAGCAGGGACCGAGCAATGGGAGCTCACCCCGTCGCAGGGATTCGAACCGCCGACCTTCTGATCGGCAAGCCCTAGGCTCTGTGGTTTAAGCCACAGCGCCACCCGCATCCCTTGTGTGGGGGAACTAGATCCCACTAAATGTTTTATGCTGTTCCTTCAATGTAATATACTGTTATATGCCACTATCTAAGAGCTGGAGAAGGGCCCCCACCAATTTGTTATCTTGCCCAGAGCCCCATCTCTTTTGTTTTCTTAATGGCCCATCACCCAGGCGATTACTTGAACACAGGAAGCTAGCCTGGCTTGATTGGTTCTTAACACTTGCTGGGTCCAGGGATTAAGTATCTGGCACCCAGTTTGAAATCTGAAGCCTTGATTAAATTCTAACACTTACTGGATCCAGGAGTTTAGAGGGGCCCGGCACCCCCAAACTCCATGCAATACAACCAACTCAACGTCTTAGCACATAATGAAAAATATTTTCAGATTTTTCACATGTATTCCCAGACATCAAAAGTTAGAGGCTTTCCTATATCTTGTTCCCAGCTTATATATAATTTTTAAATTATCCCTCTTCTTCACAGTGAATGCCTAGCAGTTTAATACAACAGAGATTTTTTCCCCTTTACCTGACAAATGCATAATTGCAAATGCACTACATCTTTGCAGCTGACAGCCACATGCTTTTATCTTCCTGTTATTTTCACATAATTGTAGATATTCAAACCATGAAAGCTCATGGACATTCTTTAACTATCTTTCTTTGGCCAGAATGGGCTGCAATTTACTCCTTATACCTGTGCAGAACATATTATTATGTTCTTCAGAAGCATCTGTATTGGATTGTAACTAATCGATAACAGCCACAATGGAAGACTTAGCAGAGCTCATTCTTTTCACAAATGTATGTAAATTCTGGTTGGTTGTTTTTATTAGTTTTAGGAAGCAACATATTTTTGAAAAGCCTATCCCTTCCCAAAAATTATTTTGTGGGCTTTTCTCAGTGGCAGTATCTCGTAGAATCATAGAATCATAGTGTTGGAAGGGACCCAAGGGTCATCTAGTCCAACGCCCTGCAATGCAATGGTCTCAGAAGCAATGATCTCTTCCCAATGTTTGGAGGCTGTCTATATGTTGATCAAATCAGCCTAACCTTCTTGGAAGCTTTTTCCCCATTTCTTATTAATATACTTTGAAAATGCTAATTATCACATGATAAAAGGGATTCGTTATTTCAACTCTATAACTTTGAAAAACCTGTCATGTTGTTGTTGTTTTACAAAGGAGCTCCACTTCCGAAGCTGCAGCCCATTATGGTTTCCACCCAGTATTACCCTTCTAAGCAAAATAAAATGATTAAAACAACATTTTAATAAACAAAGCTGGAACCTTCTTGTAAAGCACCATTAGGATCATATACATGCTTGAATACCAATTTTCCAGTGCACTGGGATAATGAGTAATCTAAAAGCACGTATTTAAGTATAGATAATGACTCTATTTATTCTCATGTCATTAGCAGTACAAAGCAGCTGAAATAATCCCCATTGCTATTCATTCCATAATGCACCATCATCGCCTTCATTTTTTAGAAAAGGTGAAGTGCCTGCACTATAATTACTGTGTAAAAAAAAGGGGGGGGCTCCTAGATATTGTTTCCAAGATATCAGGTGTAGCATCCTTACTGAAAAATGAGTTTGGAAAAAATAATGAGTTACGTATCAGCTAGTCAGGTTTATCCTTTGTCGAGCCATCTCAGGTTACAGCTAGAATGACAGCGACATTGAGTGACCTTATATTTCTGAGTTCATGAGCAGAAAGTTCAGCTTCTTAAAACTATGTTTTTGAGACGGAAACTTTATGCTTCTGGAAACGGAGAAGACAAGTGTACAGAGCAATCTTTCACTCGCCTTAGTATTAACAATTTCATTTAAACGTGTTCACAGTTTGCGGGAGATGTTCAGTATTCCGCTAAACTTTCCGAAGGTGAATATTTATCTGGTATGGTATGGTATTGATATGGTATAGTATTGTCAGCAGGAAAATATAGTCAACATAGAGGTTTGACATGTTGTTTTTGTTTAAAATAATGATATTGGAAAGTTATTGAAGAAACATTCTTGTCATTTGCAGTGCTAAGTTATCGTATGTTGTGCACTGACTGGATGCAGAGGAATGCTCGGAGACACCAGCTGGCGAACCCACAAGAGACAGGGGATTGGTGGTGGGATGACAGTGAGTGGTCAGAGGGAGAAGAGGGAGCAGATTGGGAGGAGTCAGTGTTGGAAGCTGAAGAGGTAACAGGGTTTAGTGAGAAGGAAGAGTCTGTGGCAGAGAGCAGTCCAGAATCAGAGGCAGAAGCAGAGGCTGGAGATGAGGGGGGCCAAGAGGCAGAGATCAGGCAGGCTGCTGAAGGAGGCCTCCTGCTAGTGCAACAGGACTGAAGCAGGGTTTTACCTCCTCTCCTGCCCCCGCATGCCCCCCAATCTACCCCGGAGGGTCAGGAGATCCCCCATAACAGTGCATGGGTGTGGGGAGATTGTTCTGTCTGGCAAGCCTAAATGCTTGTGTTGATGGAACAATCTCCTTAGTGCCGCGTTGAATTCCTTGAAAATGATCATCCTTGTTTGAAATCGGCAACTTTGGGAGAAATGGTGGGATGAAAACGTATAAATAAAATGCAATGAATACAGAACTTTCTATGCTATTCACTTGACAAGGAGAATTTGGTTCGACTGCCTGACTCCCCCGGATTTCTGCAAGAGACTTCTGTTTTGTTTAAATATCTGTGTTTAAATTTATTCTTTGTTTCCTGCAATATTTTCAATATAATGTGTTTTTAAAAAGCGAGCCATTTATTCAAATCATACGGCTCTTGCAGAATAGAGAAGTCAGTCTGCCAAGCTATACTTTCCTCGGAAAGTGAATGGCATAGAAAGTATTATATTTAAAAGAAGGAAGATAATATTGTTTGACTTGTTCAAAGCCTGTCATGGTGAGGACCCAGTGCCCTCCTCACCGCTAAATCAGTCAAACAGATTTGTCCAGATCACTTTCCAAAACAAACTTCACTTTTCCTCCTTGTCTAGGTCAGCTGAAAGCTCATGTTCCAAAAACATTTTTCCCCACCCCCGTTCCTCTCATTCGAGACAATGTCTGACTGAATAAATGAGACACAAAATGCTAGCTTATTCTTCCGTTTTTCTTCCTCACTTTTCATACTGTACAATTCT